CAAATGTTTGAAAAAATTATACTAAATATGTGGGGTCATTTTTATCATATGAGTAATAGGTTTGCAACTCTACAAACTTTACAACATAAATGCTTAAAAGGATAAATTGAGCATTTAAAAAATGCAATCTTTCTGCACTTCGTCTATCCAATATCATGTGATAGATCAGTCCCTGCAACTTGAATATCCTATCTTTCACGAATTCGGGAACCTAACTTATTCCTTAAATATAAATTCCTGTCACCCCGAGAGAGTAAAGAAACTTGAAACGTCTAATCTGATTTACACTCTATAGCAAAAAAAAAAAAAAACAAAAAAAAAAACATCGTGCTTGAAATTCGAGGCTACGAAGATGCAAATGGTAAAATTGGTGTCCAATGAATGAATAGTGCGATCGCCAGCGCACCGAACGGGATTTAGCGATGATTAAGGAGCTGTTTTGAACGGTGCATGGGATTAGGGACCCTCTAACGATTTGCCCAAATGCTCGCCGCAGGCTTCGAGTCATTAGGACCACTGTGGAGTTTGAAGAGGTTGTATCATTGATTGAAAGAGGCAGGTGGGCAACGGGAATCGCGTCATATGATCGAAGGTGCGGCGTTAGAAGATGCTGCCAAGAAGGGGGAAATGGCAGATTCAGCGTCGTGAAGTTATCGAGCGATTAGGGCCCAACAGATCGAAGGACATAGTATGTCAGATCAGCTGCCACAGCGCCTATTCATCGTATCAACCCCAGACGTGGACCCCGCACACGAGTGTCCACAGGACCATTACAGAGCTGATAGAGAGAATGTACTCTCGTACCGACCGTTACGCCACGCCACTCATGCCTGCACAGTCGAGCTATACAGTGTGCTGGCTCGATCGATTGGTAGTTGCGGAATGGGACGATATCTTTATTACGGAGCCGCTTCCAACTGTGTCGTGACGATCCTCGAAGGAGACGCCTGTTGGAGACGCTAGATCGCGTGCCGATCCTGCTTTCACTACGTAAACCCCACTGCCCACCAGGAGTTATGGTCTGAATGCTATTTCTCTTGATAGCCGACCCAGTGGTCACATTAGCAAGGGTAGTTGTACTTACAACAGCGTACGTCGACGACATTGTCAGACTTGTTTTACCGTCCTTTGCATAACCTAGATTTTTTCAGCAGATCATGCCAAACACATACGGCAAGGTTGTATGACTGTATCAGCTTGTCAAACTTCCTAGCCAGTGATCGCCAGATCCCTCCATCGAGCATGTCTGTGACAGCGGAAGACGACTGCACTACCAGGGAATATTGATGACTAGCCCGAAATGCGCAATTTGCAAGAAATACGCAGGAGACTATAGGGAGCTTTTATCAATATGCGACGCCGTGTGTGCAGCGGCATCCAGGCTAGAGGTGGTCAACACCTTAGTGATCTCGTACTTTGTTACTATGTAACACTGAAATAAATCATTCAATTATTCTGAAATTTTAATCATTTTCTATTCTGTATATGATCCTCCTACCCATCGGTTTTTGTCTCCATCGGACAACTTCTTGGTGCGTCGATTTTTTTATTATAGTTAATACCATGACATTCCAGAAGAAAAATAACGTCAATTAAAATCGCCAGACCGACTCGTTCCCTATCAATAACTAATGTCACTGAAATCATTATAAACACGTGAAAGACAAAATAATTCAAAAAGGAACATCTCAGGTGTAAACGAAAAATGTTATTAAATAAGCATGTATTATTACAAAAGCAATGTATCGACAATTACCGTAAGGAATTTGTTATAGAAAATTTACGGAGCAGATAAATACTATTAGGATATTTCGTATTTCTATTACTATGAATATTAACGCTTAATATTAGAGGCAAAACTCATCATCATGTCCCCATGAGATTTTAGTAATTTACGTCATGCTAATAGATTTAATAGAATAATTCTTTGTGATAATATGAAGCATTATATTCTAAATAAACCATAGGCTTAAGGCTTATGTCCAAGGGATCCATCAGTGATCCAATCTGTCAAATTTGAGGGAATGGAGGATTGGTGTTGCATACAAACTAAAACATTTGTTAAAACTAAAATGCATTGTTTCAAAAGAATGTGTGTGTTTATGGCAAAAGCTCGATGCTAGCTCCTAGGGAGGGAGCTTTGTGGAGGCTTAAGGAAAACTGGCTTACACACGTACACATGGGGAATCCACGAACACGCCATGTGGCCATCCCGTTCGCGGGATCGAACCTCGGACCGAACTACCAGTGTTCAGCGACTTTACTGCTCGGCCGCTGGTAGGCACGTTTCACAATGAATCCGAATCAAGGTTGCATAAAGTCGCTTCATAACAATAACAATAATAAATGAAAAATAAAATTTGGCAAAGAGTAATTTTTAATTTTTTTTAAATATACAGTAGGACAATTTGGTACTTAATAAAAATGCATTTATTAACTAAAATTACAATTTCTTAGTATTAAAAAAATATGAACACCAGAAAAATTTTGAAAAAAATAAAAAAAAGTTTAATAAAATAATAAAAATGGCTTCCTTTTATTTTTCAGCCTCTTTGAGACCTTTGAGACATAGGACTTCAAGCAATTATAAAATGTTTGGAGGAATACAGAACATTCTTTTTCCCTTTTGTTATGGCATTACAATTAAATTTGATGGCCTTTTAGCATATGCTTTGAACGATTCCAAATTAAAAGTTCAGATTAAAATATCTGTCATCCGATGTATTCTGCATTTTTTCAGATAAATGTGTCAGTAAAAATTGCCTTGAGGTAATGTTTAAAACTGTATGGCAATAAGGAGGATCCCAAAAATGTTTAATCAATTATTTAGAGTCAAAGAGAGCTTACGTTTATCTGGACACTTTGTAATTAATAAATTATATATTTAAGAAAGGAGTTAAACATACTACATAGCAATGAGAAAAAGTTATCTGTATTTTTGCAAAAAATAAAGAAAAACACTTATTACCATTGCCGTATGTTTATCAGGAAAAACACATGTCTGACCTCTTGCCGTCATGTTGCAAAATACATGGATAGCGTCATCTGCCATTCCAAGATTTGGATCAATCCAGTACCACCCTACCAAAGGTAAGAAATTTTTGTTAAAATTCTTATCCGACCAAAGAAAGAATTTATTAAAGTTTAAAAGGGAACAATTATTTAACATAACTTGTTGCACTGAAACTACAGAAAACCGGGGAATAGAATTATTTCAATCTTACCCTTACAAATTCTGTATTTCAGAACATCTTATTAAAATAAATGATTATTTTTTTCCAATTTAATGTTTAAGATTATCGAATTATATGTCTATACATGAACCTGCTTTAGTTTCATTTAAAACTTGATACGAAATATGTCATTTATAATGTTATATGAAGATGAAAAAACAAAGTTTTAAATAAAAAAAGCTCTTAAATTTCTTTTTAAAGTTTTATCATAACGAAAGAAAATTTTTTTGATATAAACTAACAGATGCGCAATAAAATTTCTCAAAAAGATGTAATCCCGTTTCTTAGCAAAATAATTTCCTTAAAATCACATGGAATTATTTTTAAAGGCTACTGTTGTTTTATGTAACGATTTTCTGCAAATATAATACTCACGTTAATTTTGATATACTGTCAGTCTGGAACCCGTTTTTACTCAAATATTTAGCAGCACCTTGATTTTCACTGTAGAAGGGCAAGTCATAATTTTATTTACTACAGAATTTTATTCTCATTTTTCTTGTGCTCTGTTTTTTTAAATGATCTTACAATTATCTTTGGTAGACGAGTAGAAAGTGTTCTTTATAATAGCTCTATATTGCTGTAAGCCCGTCGAATGATACAACAGAATACTGTTTTGGAATAGAAATTAGGTATACCATTTTTGCGCTCGGAATTTAGACATATGACTCGTTGCTTTGCTGTAGTGGAATTCAGCTTTTAGTTTTTACATTATGTAAGTAAAGAGATAAGATTTCTTTAAAAAAAAAAAAAAAAAAAAAAAAACGAAATATTGTTTTAATATTCAGAGTTCATTTTTGATACTTTTCGATTTTTCTTAATTTTAGTTTTCTAGTTCATGACAAACCAACTATAATCATAAACATCATCATTTTAAGAGATTAATTTTAGATTTAATTTTAAGAGTAGAGAAAGATTTAATTTTAAGAGTTTTTCTAAAACTCTTAAAATTAAATCTTTCTCTCCAATTTTACGAAAATATATTGATCACTTTCTAGTACAATATTAAAATATGACTAATATTCATCTACAATCATAGGACATTTCCATTTTTCACCTTAAAATGGCTGTTATGAAGAATTCTCAATTGATCTTAAGCTTGGTCAGTTTTTCAGAAAATAACAATTTACACTGTAATATTTTTCCTTTTTTATTTAAATTATTGTTTATTATTTTATTTGTAGTAGAGATGGGAATTTTAAAAGATAATGAATTTTCTCGATGGATTAGATAGGCCCCTTTTTGAGAACCAAAAATTTTGTGCATTTTTCTATTGAATGAATATTTGGTGTTCTGTTGCTTGTAGAAAATAGTGATTGTAGAGTTTTTTTTCATTATGAATGATATTATTTATTGTACTATTAGATATCATGATTCCAAAATTCTAATAAAAATAGTTTTCTATTTGGGAAATAAGAATATCTTCTCTGGGAAAATCTCATAAAATTTATTTACATAAAACGCTTAAAGCTTTCCAAATTTGAGCAGACAAAATGTTTTCTCTCAATAAAAGCTGTTCCCAATTAATTGTTATGTTTCAGAGTTTCGATTATTTGCTTGACCAAAATTGTCCAAAAATGTGACAAAAAGCGCCTGTAGTATGCTTTCATAAAAACACTTTTTAAGGAAAACAGCCGGATATTGATATTGCACGTGAAAAAGAGCACAAAAATTCCAAGAAGTCAGTTTAGTGAATTACCAAGAGATAACCGGGATCTGACAACGGATTTTTATTATCTATGACCTCAGCCACAGGTGGGCTTTCAAAAAGAGACAATTCAGTTGCTTATACTAATAGAAAACTTGAAATTGTCGACATTACTTCTTTGATATACAGAACTGAATTTTATCTATAGAAACTGCTTACAGTTGTTAAGTCTTTCCGTCATCGTAAAGTAATATTTTCAAAACATTTGTAAGATTTATCCTAAGTTTATAACAGTTTTAAATTTATGCACTTTTCCTAGCTCTCCTAATTTCAGCTTAAGCTTACAATTCCTTACCAGAATGAGTTTTTAGAATCGCGTTTAATGTAAATGAGAAGAAGTACGTTTTAAGTCGATCTTGCACCGACTTCGAGAGAGAATCAGAATTTCTGAATAGCACGCGTTTGCCTTTTGGCTATATCTCTTTAAACTGTTACTACGCTCGGCCGAACTACGTGCACTTCATAGTTTCGCTTGCTAATTGGATATTTAGGGGCCAACTAGTTTAGACCTATGTTAGCTTTAGCTGAATCTTTTTAGTTAGTCATTAGTTAAGGACTCATTTCTTATATTTTTGAGTTTAAGCCCAAGTGGAGGCTTTGTTGTACGTCCTGAGAAAAAGAAAAAGACGGTCTGCACACCTTTAGTTTGAGCAATAATGGGTAATTAACCCTTCTGGAGTTTCACGTTTCTTTTTCTGGACTTAAGCGATTATTCGCTTAGTAGTTCACTAGGTTCCTCCACACTTAGCTAATAGATAAAAGGGAGGATCACTACACATTTAACATTAAATGACAAGCAATTTTAGGCTTAAACATTAAGAATTAAAATAATAACATCTGTTTGACAATGTATAATAAAAAAATAAAAGAATTTTAAAATTTACGAACTTACCATCTAAGAAATCAGGATGACCAAGGTACAGATCTCTGCACGTCCGAGCTGGATTCTTGCGGGTTCCTAAAGGCTTTTTGATGACATCTATTTCTTTTCTCATTATATAGATATTCGCATACATGTTGAGAAGTTTATCCTGCAAGCTTTCAGGCTTACCCTGAGAGTTTTCCGACTTCTGCTCGTTTATAGAGTTTTCTTCGGCCTTCTCGATCTCAATTTCCTTTTCAGCTGTATATGATTGATACGCTTTCCTATCTGTACTTCTTTTTTGGCGAATATATGGATAGTCTCTTTGAAATAGTATCTCAGGTGGTATTTGGGGACCTTCTCCTGGAGGACCCTAGAGCAATAATGCTTAGCATTAATAAAAATTACTTACTTTAATATATTTTACGACCAAATTATATGCATCCTAGTGCCGAAAAGAAACTAATTTCAGTTTGGCGTTAATTAGGTCGGAATAATTCGTCTGTCGTTTAACTGATTCATTACATGGCTGTTTAATTCAAAATGGAAATTTAAATTTTCTTAATGATAGTTCAGAATTGTTTGGCTTAACCTCCTGAATAAATATAAAAATCATGTGCCCACATCGTTAATTTACTTAATCATCTCGTACTTATGTTTTCTATACTTACTTCTCAACTGTAACTTATTGTATCTAGAAGACAGATTCACTGCGCATTTGTAAAAGCAAGCGAGGCAGCTGTAAGATGTATATGACTGTACGTTTGTAAAAGGCTACATGTAGAAGAAAGTAGTGGGTTTAATGTAGATAGCCACTAGACCTGTAAACTGATGAGTCTATAAAAATTTATAAAGAACAACATATTCTATAGAAATCATCAAAAACCTTGTAGCGACATTAGGTAATTTTTGGAAGCAGAAAAGATGAAAAATTAGCAACCGCCTTCGCCGGGAATCGAACCACGGTTTTCTGGAATACCGGCCCAGCGTGCAGAACCACTACACCACGAAGGCACGTTAGGAAAGTGGGAGAAATACCTTATAACCTCAAGTTAGCCATTCATCGGATTTCCATTTTTCTGTATTTCTTAGTACTCTCGAGTGATTTTTCATTTCCAATGAGTGCATGACTTCGTAGTCAAACCCGTTGAGGATCTTTGAGTTGAAAATTTTAGCTTTCGTAACTAGCGGGGAAAAAATGAAAGACAGAAAAAGTATTGACAACTTTTACACATATTCCTACCAAATGCTCCTTGTCATTTTTTATTCTCATTTCTAAGCTTCTTAAGCAGACCCGCTTCTGGCGGGTATGCAGGGAATACTCCGCACGTGGGCGGCAAAATTCAGAAGCGCCAAATTCAGTCGATATCCTGTAAACTGGAAATTACCTGTGTAAGGAAAAATGCATTATCCAATGATTATTTTTTTTTGTCCTAAACATCTTTCTTTGCGCCTTTGCTTTATTAAATTGTATATTTAAAATTATACAGAGCGTACAAAATAACCTGCACGCAGGGGCTCGATGTCCCAGGAAGGTACCTGTTCTTAAAAATCTTATGTGAAATCAGAATACTTTTCGGAGGTTGCTGAGAGTCAAAGAAAATTTGCAAGGGTTTGTGGGCGTAATCACAATATTTAGTAACAGTACTATCAATAAAATACGTGTATATATATATATATATATATATACTTAAATTCAGAAATTTCAATATAAAATATATGTAACTTACTGGAGGACCAGGTGGGCCTGAAAAGAAAAATAAAGAAAAATTTGTTATATTTAAGTCATTCACTTTTACAAGCATAAAAAATTATATAATAATATTTTACACGAAAGTTGACGGCATTCCATATTTTTAAATTGGTGCATCAGAAGTTTTATTTAAAAATTCAAAGAAGCCCTCTATTATTAAACATACAGTAAATTATACAAACAATTCTTAACATACAAATTGCCGAAATAAAAACTAATTCTAATTCGTACTCGTTATTTTGTTTGCAAGATATAGTAAGATTATGAGAATAATTTTAATTTTTAATCAAATAAAAATTTTAATTTGAAGATAAATGCATTTTAATTTGAGTAGTAATGTAACATATTTTTCTAATAAAATATATCACATTTTTCCAAACCTCCACAGCAGATTTCTCGTATTCACAATGTTTCTTTAATTTCTTCAAATGTTTCCTTAATTTTGTTAATTGCGTTCATACATTTTTAGATTACTTCAAAAATGAAGCTGGAGGTAAGTAAGACTAGAATTACAGGACCGATGAAATGATAATTGTAAATGATAATCTAAATCAATTCCATTCTATATACAAAGATCAAATGAAAAGTTCTAATAGTATATCTACATATTTTCCCAATATTGGACATAATAACCATGTGTACGATTTTGTGAAAGTTATTAACATGTTATCGATATGTTTGAACCTACGGATGGACAGCCATAGCTTTCCGTGTTCATCACAATAAAAGCGCTTAGTTTTCTTTGTTGTGGCGGGTGACGGAAACGTCTCCGTCGAAATACAGCAAAGTTGTGATTGGAATGAATTTTTCGTTAAATCTGGGAAGAACCGAAATGAAGCATTAGAAATATTACGGTATGCATGTAATATACGAAATATTTAATCATGCTACAGTTTTTCCATGTTAGAGGTCTTTCAAATATGCTAACAACCAACTGATCGACTAATCACACACTAACAGACCATCTATTGCAATTGCAGATTCCAATATTGGAAATCCATGGCGAAATAGCGAATGGTTGATTAATGAAGGTGGAGCTACGAAGAAAAAATATCGACTGTAGTAAAATATTCTCCGCAAACAGCTTCCTGGAGTTTACTCTAAATCAGTAGTTCTCAACCTTTTGAGACCAACGCGTACCATTTAACAAAAATTGAAAAACTTTAGTACCACCACTACATTTTAAAATGATTATGTTTAAATTTTTAATAGAAATATTTAAAAAAATATATTTTGCCAATTAACCTATAAGCTTTTTGTATTACATAGGCACACGTAAAAAATATTAGAGTAAAAATTGGTTGCCATTTTAATTATAAAAATCCAAGTTATAATATTTTAATTCTAAAATTTAATGTCAAATTTGGGGCCTGTAAGAGTTCAAGTGCTTTATGTCTGGTCTTACCGTATACACTCACGTAATGTCCCCACTTTTTTTACTAAAATTACATCGCTAAAATGAGGGTGCGGACATCACTCAGGTCGTTCATATGTCGCGCTTTTTCTCTTGAGTATTTTGGGTGTAGATTTCATTTTAAACAGCCAAGTTAAGTTCTAACTGGAAGAAAATGGCATAAGTAATATATTTTAAGTTGTCTAATTACATAAAATTTTCAAACTCACTTCTTCTCATCCAGCAGCACTCGGCGCATATTAGTTCGTACAGGAGCACACATTATTTAGAAAAAAACATCTGTTCTGACGCACTGTATAAAAATCCATTTAGTTTTCATCATTCGCCGCAACCAGCCTTCACTCGCCTTGACTTGCGATGTGGGGAATGTTTTCTCGTACCGCAGCAAGCGCTCTTATTTGGCACATTTCCCGTATTACTACGTACTCTTGAGCACACATATCATGAACATAGGCAACTACGTTTTTTCCTAAGTTGGAAAACTTACTTTTCGAATCACGAAACGCACGTCTTGCTTTGTTCTTTGCCACCAGTTGATCACGCTGTTTGCTCCACTTGTGCACACACTTTTGTTATGTTAATATAAGTTTGAATTTTTGGTTATGAAAGAGCTCAAGTTAATTACTATCCTTAGTTGAGAAAATCTGAATTTTTATTTAATTCTTTGAATTAGTAATTTAATGTTTTATTATTTATAATTAATTTAATATTTGGTTATTACTAAATTCTTTAATTTTGCTTAAAAACAAATGCTTCAATAATAATTTTTTTTTTCTTTTATTTAAACTTAACCAAGAATTACTTTGTGAAAGAATTCAGGAAAAGGGGCGAATTTTCGTTCTCTCAGGGTAACGTACTTTCATAGATCTTTCTAGAAAGAAGTTGCTTTGTCTTGATTGACAAGGGGTACGTGACGAGAGGTCGTAAGGTTATCATTTCACCATACAAGAGAGGTCTTTGCTTGGCGATCTAAGTGTCCGGTTTTGGCCCGAATTTGAATAAGTGGCGCGTACGCAATTTCAGTTATCTTATCTTTTAGGGTGAAAAACGGAAATTTGGCCTCTAGTGAGGGGGGGGGGGCGAAAATTGAATTTTATGGTAGCCTGTGTTTTTGAAAGAAGTGAAAGAAATTTCGAGTAAAAATCACTTTTTTGCTTCATGTCTTCGTGGAACGGTGTTTGATACACCAAGGTACCTGATCAACAAGGTTCTTACCCCTTGTAAAACAGTTTGCGAATTGCGAATGGTATGATGAAAACCTAAAAGTTATCTAAGGTAATTTTTTTTTTTTTTTATAATAAAGTTTTTAAAATGAATAGTTAATAATTTAGAATTCATATTAAAGCCAGAAGTTAGGAAATGCTAATTAAATTGTTAAGCGATGTCAAATGAATGCAGGCCAGAAGTCGTCGAGCTGGTCAGCGTTTGCATAAAGGCAGCGTTAGGCGAACACTGGTAATTTGAATCCGACAAGTAAGACATAAATTCTATGAACGTAAGACTAAAAAGAATGCATAACAGATACAATAAGAGAGGATTAACATAAACCGTAAAGGCATTATATTAAACATTACATAATATATACATTCAGTTGGGCCATGGCCCTGTCCATATTTGCTACGTCAGGGGTCGGCAACCTTTTGAGTGGGAAGAGTCAAAAATTACAATTTACAAAATTTCAAAGTTTTTAAAGAGCCACCAAATTTTTTCTTGCCAACAATAAATAGTACTTACATAAATAAAGTTTTTTGATAAACAAAAAATAATCTATTTATTCATAAAAAAAATATCTATTTATTCATAAGAAAAAATTATCTATTCATTCATATATAATAAATAAATAAATATATATTATCTTAATATATATCTAATTTGTTGTAAAACACTATGTGTTTTACAACAATTAGATAATATATATATGGCATTATTTAAATAATTACTTACTATTTAAGTAAAAAATTAAAACAATTAAACATTTACTTACAACACTAACTTGTAACTCGTACTTCAATAAAAAAATATCTATTCATTCATATATATATAAACATATTATATATTTAATATATATCTAATTTTTTGTAAAACACAAATTAGATAATATATATATGGCATTATTAGATAATTACTTACTATTTAAGTAAAAAATTAAAACAATTAAACATTTACTTACAACACTAACTTGTACTTCAATAAAAAAAAACAATTGATCAAACAAATTCAATGGGAGCGTTGGCTTTGCATGGTTTTAGAAAGTTTAGATATATTTTGCTCATAACTGGTTGTTTTAAGTTTCAAACACGACTCTAAATTTTTATTTGTTAGTTGGTTTCTTACTGTACTTTTAATTATATTCACGCAAGAGAACGCTTGCTCGCACGAATATGTCGATCCAAAGATAGTCAGCACTCCAAATGCCAACTTCTTCACCTCACTGTAGCAATCTGGAAGATTATTCCATGCGTCGAATATAAGTGCCTCAACTCGCGGCATTTCTTTTAAAGCTGCCCACTTTTGTTGCATTATATACATTCGTTTCTGGACATCCAACTCTTCCAACTTGCTTTTCAACTCTGTAAATTTTTCACTCCACAAAGCTTTAATTTTTAAATCGATCAATTGCATTTCTAGAGATTCAGTATCAATTCCAAATGGCTCAGTGTGGATTTCGTTGCTATTTGTGTTGAGAGGGTTTACTATGAATGCTAGAGTGGTTTTGTTGGTTTTGAATTACTCAAATCTGTCAGCAAATTCATCTTTAATTTTTTTTGTAACTGTGCTGAAGTAATTCGTGTCAACAGTTGCAATGGTTTTATCGCGATATTGCTTTAGAAATTGAAAATGAAGTAATTTACCGCTCTGAATATCTTCTGCAAAAAGAATTAATTTTTCATCAAAACAAACCACTTCTTTTAAAACATAGGCTGGGTTTCCTTTTCCTTGCAGTTTTAGATTCAGCTCATTTAATTTCGCTGTGACATCCACCATGAAGTAAAATTTTTGCAACCATTTTTCGTTCTCTAATTCAGGGTGATCAATGCTTTTTTCATTTAGGAATGTTTTTATTTCATTCAAGCACAAAGCAGAACGTTTCAACACCTTTCATTTCGAAAGCCATCGCACTTTATTGTGAAGAAGGAGGTCGGAATACTGAGTCTCCATTTCGTTTAAGAATTCTTTAAACTGACGATGGTACAGTGCTTTTGACAAGATGCTGATAACAATCTTGATTACCAAATTCATAACCTCAAATATTTCGGCCGAAAATGTTTGGGCACAAAGTGCTTCTTGGTGTATTATGCAGTGAAACGTATTATTTCCTGTCATACTTCTGGTTCCATTAGTTGCTATTGAAACTAATTTTATTTAAATTAATTATTTTGTTAAAACAATAAGATCGATTTAAATAAAATCGGCATTAAATTGCCGATTTTATTTAAATCGATCTTATTATCTTCAAGGCATTTTTGCACGGCATTCGGTATATCTTCCCCTCTATTTTGTCCCGAGAGCGGTATCAATCCTATAAATTCTTCTTTTGGATCTCGGGAAGACACACACCTGACAAAAAGGTCAACTTGTGC